TTTCCCCCTGGGGGGGGGGGGTGATGTCTCTGTCTCTCTCTCTCTGGCGAGCGCACGCGCCCTATAGCAAAAACCTCTCTCTCTCAAAAAAAGGAATTTTATTTATTTATTTATTTTTAAAGAATTTTTAAATTTACTTTTATCATTCATTCATTTTATTTTAATTTGACCAGAGAGATACACAGAGAGAGCGACAAAGAGGGAAAGTGAGAAAGCAAACCACCAGGTCCAGGACTCGAACCATGGTGAGCCATGTGGGAGTGTCCAGCACCTCAACCACCATGCCACCTGCTGGTCCCCAAAAAAGGAATTTAAATAATTAGGTGCATTTTTAAATCCTGGTTCTTTTCCTCTCCGTGTATGTAAGACAGCACTGGGTGATTTCTCTCCCACCCAATCCTCGGAAATCGGAGTCAGTTACGTCTCCACAAATACCTGCACCCACTGACATGTGTACACTGCCACCGCCTGGGGCAGACTGGGATGGCTGCACACACCCCTTCATGAGGCTCCTACCCACGGGCCTCCTTTCCAGTGCATTCAGCCCGAAGCTCTCCAAGTGCACTGAAAACACATGGCGGTCACATCACCTCTCTGCTTACAACTTGCCACCACTCCTGTCGGCCTGGAGCAAGGTTACCACTGCCCGCTGCCGTGTCCCCGTGACCACGGCTGATGCCTTCTGCCAGTCTCCACTGCACCTCGAACCACTTGCCACGCTGGCTTTGCGTATGGTCAGAACGGCCTTCCGCCTGCTTAGAACACTCTCTCCCCAGCTGCTCGCATGAACATCATCTCATTTTCCAGGTCTTGGCCTCTCTTCCCACCTGGAGTCGGCCTCCATCTTTCTGGATGCTCTTACTGCCTTCCCAGTAACTTCCTGCAGGGCGTAGCACCATGTGGAATTGCACGCTTTTCCTCTGACGTGCTAGGGTGCAGGCCTTGCCTGCTGTGTTCACCCAGTAGCCTTAGCACCTCCCAGAGGGCCTGCCTCACAGGAGGGCTCAGTTTCATTGCTGAATGATGGGCAGCCCCAACTCTGCCGGTCTCCAGGCCTGCTCCAGGGGGTCACAGGGAGCCTCTTGTGGCTCCCTGGGGTCACCTAAGTCAGCACTCCCCTTCCTGTGCACGTTGGGAGCTCCAACTGGATTCCCACGCTCACTGCTTTGCCGGCCCGCACGTTCTGTGGCATGGGGCCACACTGCCCCCTAGAGGTTCTCGGGCAATCAGGCCAGCCCCGCCCCAGAGGTACCGCCTATTCACTTCCATTGACTTGGAGCCCAGCGGTTTTATGGAGCTGAAGGCCAGCTCTCAGCTGGGTCGGTCCTGGCTAGCTGCCTACTCTCATCTCTCCCAAAGCAATGGAACGGAATAAAGAAATGGTTTTGGAGAGAAACACCCTCATGAATGAAGACATCTGAGAGTAGTCACATTGACTGGCTGGGCCTGGAAGCACAGTACAGCAGTTCGAAGCCTGACAGGAGGCCAGGCCTCAGCACCGAGACCAAAATGAGGGGCACGGCCAGGGACCCTGCCAGGAGGCAGATGGCACTGAGGCCCGTGGTACAGAAAGGCCGGAACTGGACACAGAACAGCTGACGGTGCAGGGCTGACACCGACAGAGCTGCAGGACACAGGGCCATGGGGCGACTGGGACAGCTTTGACTCCACGGGAAGGTACTCCCCATCCGAGGACACCCCGAGGGAGGCGAAGTCCAGGAGCAGTTAGATTTCCTACCGACCCAGTGGGGTGGGAGCTTGGGGAGCTAGTTTTCTGCAGGTGAGGCTGGCCGAGGGCCACATGGGTGGGTTGCAGGGCTGACCCTAGGTGGAAAAAGACGTTCAGTTTCCTCATGACCACTGACACTGGTGATGACATTCGTCTTTCAAGGAGTTGTCTAAGTTTGGGGTGTCCGAGCCTCGGAGAGGAGTGTGAGGACGTTCCGCAAGGTCTCTCGTGCTCTGTGCTGTACTCCCAGTACTTGGAACCACGCCCGATACGTAGTGCTGATTAGGTTAGATCTGCGGGGTGAGTGAACCAGTGAAGAAGTGCACAACAAGGAAGCAGGGTCGAAGGGCTGTGACAGTCAGCCTGGGCTCCTGGACACTTCAGGGTACCAGGGTACGGAGGTCCTCGGTTCCAGAGCTCAGAGCCAGGAGCTGGCACAGTGAACACCCACTAGCAGCCCTTGGAAATTGGGGAGGAAGGGGGTGCTGGGCTGTGCTTGGGAGCTGATGTGACTTGGCGAGGCCAAGGAGCAATGAGAGAAGGTTAGAGAGACAGATGGAGGGGCAGGTGGGAGCAGTCCAGGAAGAGAAACCCAACGAGGATATTTAAGCAAATGCAGGGACGATGCCAAGGAAGAGTGTTTTGAAATTTTTTGCAAAACAAAAACAAAACAAAACAGAAACAACGCTCAGCCCTCAGCCTCTGGCGCCATCCTCCCACTTGTTTCTCTGGTTATGACTTCGGATTGCTCAGCATCCCAGGGCCAGGGCAGAAGGGCCATCGGAACTATAGCCAACTAGTCTTGGGAGAGCTCATCTGAGAGGTCCCCCGCCGGGGCAGACTTTTCCCAGAGACCTTGTTCTCTTTGTGGGATGCAAACCAAGGCCCAGTTCGAGCCCTCAGCCTGGAAGAGTCCAGCATGGCATCTCACAGGTGGGGCTCCCCCTTGCTCAGCCGTCAGACGAGCTGTCGGACTGGCCAGGAACGTGCGGCGGGCAAAGCAGTGAGTGTGGGACCAGAGTCGAAGCTCCCAACATGTGGAGGAGGGGGAGTGGCGACCCAGGTTACCCAGGGAGCCACGAGAGGCAGGACGCGGGATGAAGCTGCAGTGACCCCCTGGAGCAGGCCTGGAGACTGGCAGACGGTTACCCTGGGCGCCACAGAACTCTTCCTTGGGAGGCCAGTCTGGTGGTATGGCGGTTAAGGTGGATGGATACCACACAGCAAACTTTGTGGTTCAATCCGGGACCTGCTGCCTTGATAAATCCATAGGGTAGGACCAGCAGTTGGCATAATGGCTATGTTGCTGGACTCCCATGTAGTTGGCTGTGGTTTGAGTCTCGGACCCGGTGGCTTAAACTCACACCAGGTGCGTGTG